GCAGAGACTCCACGCACTCGCCCTCCAGGTAGGCCCTGCTGATCTCCCCAGCACCAGCCTGCTCCCACTTGCGCCGGGTGATCTGAGCCGCTGTGTCCGCCGCCGTCCACGTCATCAGGTCGTCGTTCAGGGCGATATAATCGTGGCCATCGTAGGCGTACTGGTCATACCCGCGGAGGAGGCGCCCGTTCGACCCCACGTCACAGCCGTACATATTCTGGTAGGTGTGAGAGCCTGCGGGGACCCCACGGTCAGCCCCGCCCACCTGCCCCCGCCCCCGTCACCCGCGCCCCGCGGCCCCGCCCACCCGCGGACTCTAAACCGAAAGGGAAACCGGGTCCGGTCCCCGCTCTCCTCCCGAACCTCGGACCTGGGACCCGGGGCGACTCCGGCCCATGCATAGGGACGTGGAGGGGTCGTGACCTCCGACCGCGGTCACTCACCGCCCTCGCTCTGGTTGTAGTAGCCGAGCAGGGTCCTCAGGTTCCCTCGGAAAGTCTGCTCGCGGTTCTTGGTTCTTTGTGTGCTCCTCTCCCAATACTCCGGCCCCTCCTGCTCCATCCATGGTGCCCGGGGCTCCTTCCTTGGAGTTTCCGCGTCGCTGTCGAAGCGCACGAACTGCGTGTCGTCCACGTAGCCGACTTCCACGTACCGGGGCTCCCCGAGGCCGGGCCGGGACGCGATGATGTAGAAATACCGCATGGAGTGCGAGCCTGGGGGCGGAGCGCGGTGAGACCCCGACCCTGCTCCCGGGACCCCGGGCAGGAGCGCGGGCCGGGAGGGGAGCAGGGCGCGGGGCTCGGGACGCGGGTGGAGAAGGGGCGGGAGGGTCCGGCTGGGCCACGCGGGGACGCGGCTTCCCCGGTGCCGCCCCCGCCCTCCCTGCAGAGCCCGGTTCCCTCCCGACCCCGCACTCACCCGCGCGGGTCTGGGTCGGGGCCAGGGCGGCCACCAGCAGCAGGAGCAGCGTGCGCCGCGGGGCCATCGCCCCCACCTCAGATCTGGGCCGTCTCCTGAGTTCCGCGGACTCCGTGGACTTTATAACCGGTGACCGCGGCGACGCTGGTTGTTTCTCCCGGATCTCGCCACCCAATGGAGATTAGAACAGCTCAGTTGTCAACAGTGTCTGGACAAAAGGACCTGACACTGTAGGAGCCTGTCATGATATGCTAAATAGAAACAGACCACCCAAAGGAGTTCTTCACTTCCAATCATTATCCCTGCCAGTGTAGGACTCAGCCATCCATAAGATTAGTGGAGGCCTGAGTCTTAATAGTTTACCCTGAAGCAATACCTGGGGGTTCTTACACATGGGACTTGGTCTCTTTGTTAGTTTTTTGGGGTTTGTGGATCTGGGCATAACATTTGGGGGCTCGTCACGGATCCCCCAAGTGCACCGGAACTACACCCGTAAAGTTTTCAACAGGTCCCTAAGTTTTCTGTGTTTTGTTTCATGTCTCATGTCTGTGTCTCATGTCTTTCTGTAAGCGGGCCCAGGAACTGTAAGAGCCTGTTGATGACTAGGCAGAAGTAGGAAAAGATCACAGGCGGGGTACCTGGTGTCTCAGTTCAGTAGAGAGACACGCGGGATGCTACCAATGTCCATTCTGTAGATAGACTGGCGGGTTGCAACCGCAAATCAGCTTGAGGCTGACGTCTTTGGTTTGATTTGGCACCAACAGGATTTATCTGTCCATTGTCCTGTGTGTCTGCGTGTTGTTGTGTTTTGTCCTGACTTAGACTGACACTGACGGCGTGGGACAGACTCAAATCATGACTTCTTTGGCCTTGAGATTGGGATCACTAACAGGACTTTAGAGATAGGGCCATAAGCATAGGGGTATATTTTCCTACAAGGGATTAAGACAAATAACCTCTACCCGCTGCCTTAAGCATTTCATGAAAAGCAGTCAGCCTTGGTCTGTAGTGCAGGACTACACTGGCAGAGTCGCCATACAAGCAGGAGGCTGCAGGGCAGCATGCTTGTATGGATGGGTGGCTGCGCTATGCAGCCTTGTTGTTACAATGTAGCAAGGCTGCCAGCCACAGCTGTAGGGGGTAGATATGTCCCAATAGCATTTCAAACACTGAACAGAGAATCTGGGGTTAATTGCTATGGATGGCAAGGTTAACAATCTTTCTCCCCCATTCTGCATACCACCCTGCCCCCTCCCATGCTGGTGGATGAGTTCCCTGGGTCTGCCCTGGGGGCTGCCGGCCTCAATTTCTGGCCAAACCTGACCAACGTTTGTCTCCATAGGTCAATGACTCTGGCTATAGGTTTTAAGCTGTGATGAACATTGAACTTCCAGCAATGAAGCCAGCACTGGAGCAGGACAGGGACTGATGACTGAAACAGACTGTGCTGAAATGAAAAGATGCAAAACAGCATAAAATTAAACAGAAAATACAAAAAGATTTCATTTTACGGACCTACTGTGCACAGTGGATCACAGCCTCATTCCAGGGAGAAGACACTGTGTGTGCTCCTCTGTGCACTTCAGCCCTGTGTCAGGTTTGGATTGCTGCTGAGCAGGACAAATTCCTGTCAGTCACTTGAATGGTAACTTGTAACAGACCATGACAGCCCACATCCAGCAGGTTCCTGCAGCTAGTGAGGTCTCCTTTCCCATCTTCCCTCCCACATGAGGCCCTCAGGCTCTGTCTTTTTAACATGACAGAGAAGCTTCAGAGTCTAGGGCAATAGTTCACCTTCTTGAAGAAAAAGAAACAGAACTCTACCTGAGCCCACAGAGGATGAGGTTGAGAAGGAGGAACCATGAATGGCTGAGCTGCCCCATGACCTCCCCGCTACACCACTGTGAGGGTCTCAGGTCTCAGGCTGTCCTGCCCTCATGAAGCTTACAGCCAGATGGAACTTCCCATCCTTTTCCCTCCTGTGGGAAGACAGCTCCCTGCAAGAGGGTAGGGAGGTTGCAGAGCCATGAGGGTCACAGGAGCTGCAAAGCCAGGAACTAGGGAAGTTTCTAGAACTCTGAAACAGACTGTGATGTCTATTCTCGGTTGTCAACTTGACTATATTATATGTGAAATTGACTAAAAAACCCCAAAACGGAGGGCACAGCTGTGAGGGACTTTTGCTTAATTTGAGGTGGGAAGACCACCTTCTGGTCTGGATCTGTGCAGTGAAGGACAAATGTAGTTGGATTTTCTAAGGACTGCCAGCTCCTCCATAATGATCCAGAGATTTCTCTTTAATTGTGGAAGTCAGTCTCACCTTGGGCTTGTTCCCTGCTAGCTCTTAAAACATAAATTATCCCATTTATATTTATCTATATTCTAGCTCATGGCTCGTTACCCCTCCTCAGCACCACATGTCTGACTTCCTCCTCCTCTGGCTGTTGAATTCCCCTTGCTTCTGATGCCTTCCCAGAGTTCCTGTCTCTGCCAGGAAGTCTTGCTTTTCTTCTCCTTCCTAGCTATTGGCTGTTTAGCTCTTTATTAAACCAATCAGAAGATGCCTTAGGCGAGTGAGGAAGGACAGAGACACATCTTATAAAAGGATTATCCCAACAAGAAAAACCCCTCTCACCTGGGCCACACCTTCTGCTGGAAATCTATATAAGGACATGGAAAAAGGAATTTCTTTATGCTTTTTGCCTGCGTGCTTTTGCCCCGCTAGCAAGTCTGTTCCTTCAAGGGATTAGAGCCTGCTCTGGGAATCCAGCATATACTGAAGACCAGCTGAGAAATCTGGCTTCAAAGACTGAGCAAGTGCTGGATGTTTGGACTTTGTGTTTATCACCAACCCTTGTTGGATTAGCTGGGCCACAGTGTGTAATGACTTATAAATCCCCTTTCTATAGACAGACAGACTGATAGATGGATAGATAGACAGACAGACACATAGAAACATAGGTTCCGTCTCTAAGTTCTGCTGCTCTAGAGAACCCTGACTATTCCAGTGACCCAGGAAAGGCTGAGGAAACACTGGGATGGGATCGGAAGGAAGAGAACCATCTACCGTCCTGGAGGGCTGTCTCAGCGAGGACCTCCCCTCCATCCTCTCACTGCTGGGAACCAAGCATCCATTTCCACCACTGTCAGGTGCTGAGTCTGCCCTGTGTCCTCTCCTGTGTTTACAGTAAAGTGTCTGCAGGCAGCGCCCCCTGCTGGGTGAGCACCGTGTGGGACACTGAACTCCTAATCCTCAGAGTCTCAGACCAACACTAGAGACTCTGAAGACCAAGCTCTCCACAGTTTAAAAATCCCCAAACTCACAGTCCTCCCCCTAAGTTAAAATACCAAATCTTCAAATCTGCAAAATTAAAATCCCAATGATCACAGTCCCCAGGGTGGGGAGGGTGTCACCATAAGAAGGCAGTTCAGAAAAGCCTTGGCCACACAGTGTGTGCGTCTAGGACAGGCGACCATAGTCATTTAGGAGGTGTAAAGACCACCATACTGTTCAGGGAGC